CAGGGGCGCACCCAGGAATATATTTTAGGGGGGTTTATATTTCTGAAGATATATCACCGGAATATACTGCAAATTCGCTTCAGATAATACGCCCTTTAAAATACATTTATGCAAGTTTTATTTACAGTATGTATTAAATAAAGAAACGTTTTAAAATTCATAAACTGCACTTGATTTGCATAAGATTAACAGAACTCAAACATTTTTAAGCGATTTCAAAAAAAGGGGAGGTTATCAATTCGTCCTAATACATAACTTTGGACCACGTGAACCGATTTCAATAATTATTTTTTTATNTGCATTTATATGTTCATTTTTTCGATTCCTGGTTTCTGGTTTTCGATAGAGATGGTGATTTTTCACGATTGCCACATTTTTTTAATATTTCGAATACCGAAAAAATTAACTGAACTCTCAAGAAAAACGAAAAATGTATATAAAACGACGGACAAGAAATGGAAAAGAAATTTTCTTCCACCAACATTTCTTAAACCAGTTTGCAGCTCTCAAGAAAAAAATGGTCGTATATTTATTTTCTCATGAAAATTTATAGCAAAAGCAAAGCGCTTTTTTCAAGCAACAGAAATTATAATAAATATTTCTTATGATTTCCTTGAGAGCTGAATTCTTATCTTTAAGATACAGTTTGTTTTTGAGGTTATTAGCTTTAGGGGGGGTTTCAACCCCAAAACCCACCCCTTGTGTGCGCTAATGATGTCGTCCTATCATAACAGTGGCATTGTCGCTTGCTAATGCAATTATATTTTTAAGCGGGATATTACGCTTAGCTAATATGGTTTTACATTTTGATATATTTTCAATCCACTACAATCATTTGCGTTGAGTTCAACTAACCAAATCTTTTACATATCTAACCACGATACCGCAATTTTTTTTTATTAGCAATATCAGTTGATTCGTCAATAAAAATTGAAAACTTTCTTTAAATCATTTTCAATTTCCTTATTTTCTTCTTCGCAAATAACAGTTTTGATCACCCCCGTACACTTTGCTCTTCCCAACTTAATGTCTTTTACAATTTTTAAATAAAAAAAAATTGTTTTCAGTAGTAGTACTAGGCTATCAATAATTTGTAAAGCCACGTTATTATCAGCAAAGAACATGCAGAGTTTTATTTCAGCCATTTGCGCTAAGTTTGTTCTTGTACGGATAGTTACTAATAATTATTACTAGTTTTGGCTAGTACACATCATAGAAAAAACATAAAAAAATCATAAAAAAGCACAAATAACTCGGTCAGAATTCGCGTCACAAATTTCTACTAGCTTGGTGTTTTAAACTCTTTTTTATTTCGCTCTTCCTGGGCGTAATATTCATTTTTTCTCCTATCCGCTATTTTCTGTTCAGAAAGTAGATGAACATACCTACAATTGGCTTACAAATGGTGGCCGACGCTTTTTTTCTCTCCTTCATCACCCCTATTCGTTGTTATCGTGACGCTTGCGCTGATAGGATTTATATGAACGGCGTTAATTTACCGCAGAGTATGGCAGCTGTTTCCTACTTATCCATTACTAAATTTTTGTGCTTGGTATGATTTGCCGAAAATCCCGCTTTTCGACAGAAAATACCTTTCGCCCTTTTAAGTCATAAAATCCCGAAAAAAGGGCGAAATCCCGCAAACTGTTATCACTGTATTACGCTGTTCGCGGTTTATTGTCTCCCACGTTTCACTATAACAGAAAAACAGTTTATGGATTTCTTCAGTTAGCTGGGAGAGCCCTTCCTTGCTGCAAGCAATTATACAATGCGCTTATATGTAGAAACAAACTCGATTACGCTTCTCATGGAAAGCCTACATATTGGCCGTCACCCTATATGCTCAAGACAAGGGCTACAAATTGGTTTAAGTATAAAAAATATATCAGTGCGCATATAGACCTCGATCCAAATTTAGGTACGCCGACCGATATTGAGAACTCCATAGCCGCTCTTGAATCTACACTTAGAGCAGCCGCTAGCGTTTCCACACCCCAGAAAGGTTATGTGCAACATAAAAAATTTAATTTAACCAATAGGAAAATTGAAATGCTTGTATTGGAAAAACGACGCCTACGACGGATATGGCAGACTCATAGATCACCAGCATCAAAACAACTGCTCAAGGCGGCCACACATCCCTCAAGAACGAGGACCAGTACGCACAGTACCGGTACATCCAAAAGCTCTCACCGACTAGCACAAAGTACTCGTTATGGAAAGCACACCAAAATCTAAATGCGCCAATAGAGACTGAAATGCCAGTACGGGGCCATAATGGCAAATGGGCTCGGGGTGACGCAGAAAAAGCAAACACCTTTGCTGCTCATCTAAAAAATGTTTTTAGGCCAAACCCCGCAACTAATGATTTTCAACTACCACCCGTGCCCAATATGTCAAAATGTGAGCCACTAAAATTTGTACCTGAAGAAATTTCAAAAGTAATTAAGGATCAACTGCAACCTGCAGCTGTATGCTATTTAACGCAATCACAAAACATTGTCATTTCCCTCACCATTGGAAGAAGTCGACTATTGTGATGATACCAAAACCCGGAAAGGACAAAACGCAGCCATCTTCCTATCCCAGAAGATAACTTAGNGCCCAATATGTCAAAATGTGAGCCACTAAAATTTGTACCTGAAGAAATTTCAAAAGTAATTAAGGATCAACTGCAACCTGCAGCTGTATGCTATTTAACGCAATCACAAAACATTGTCATTTCCCTCACCATTGGAAGAAGTCGACTATTGTGATGATACCAAAACCCGGAAAGGACAAAACGCAGCCATCTTCCTATCCCAGAAGATAACTTAGGTAGGCCTTCTTAAGTAAAGCCATCCTTAGAGGCCAACCCATGGGTAGCGAAAGAAGAAGCCCTTCAATTTGTGCCACTTCATAAAAAAAAGAAAGGAGAAGGGAATCAGAAAGGCCTTTCGGAAGGGCTTTTAACTCCTGAAAATATCTACCCCCACAGGCCCATTAGCCTGCTACCGTGTATGTCGGAATTATTCGAAAAACTTCTTATGTTGCGCATCTCCCCACATCTGCAAGCCCGCAACATAATACCACTTCACCAATTTGGCTTCAGGGAAAAAGATGGAACAATGGAGCAAGTAAATCGTATAACAACCGAAATCCGAACAGTGTTTGAAAAGAGGGAACAAATATTGCGCTGCAATATTTCTCGTCGTCGTCCAAGCATTTGATCGCGTCTGGCTAGACGGTCTTATGTATAAAATACAGATGCTACTCCCACAAAGCACACACAAACTGCTTATGTCATACCTTAATAATCGAAAGTTTGCAGTTCGATGTAACACCACCATCTCTGAAGCCCATGCAATCGAAGCTGGAGTGCCACAAAGCAGTGTCCTTGGCCCGATGTTGTATGTCTTATACACCGCGGATATTCCTACAAAATACCGCCTGAAAATGTCCACTTTTGCCGATGACACTGCCATAATCAGACGCTCCAAGTGGCCTCTACAAGCAACTGTGCTCCTAGGCAATTATATGGAAACTGTTGCCAATTGGCTCGCAAACTGGCGAATAAAGGTTAACGAGCAAAAATGTAAGCAAGTTACATTTACACTGAATAAGAGTAACTGTCCGTCCTTGACTTTGAACAACGTACAAATACCACAACGCAATCATGTCACTTACCTAGGGGTCCATCTGGACAGGCGACTTACTTGGCGAAACCACATAGTGGCTAAAAGGTTTCATCTCAAGCTGAAGGCTAATTCTCTCCACTGGCTTATTAACTCTCGCTCACCCCTGAGTCTGGAGTATAAAGTGCTTATTTACAATACAGTTTTAAAACCGATATGGACCTATGGATGTGAGTTATGGGGAAACGCGAGCAGCAGCAACATCGAAATCCTTCGTCGTGCGCAATCTAAAATCCTTCGAACAATCACCGGAGCACCTTGGTATATCCGAAATGAGAACATTCACTGCGACTTGAGAATAGCAGAAGTACGAACCGAAATAGAACAACGGAAGACTAAATATGTATGTGTATGTGTAAAGATCTTTATTGCGTGTCAACAGGACCTCAAGACTACGTAGGAATGACTTACCAGCCCAGTCGTAATCTTTTCTTAGGGCCAGTTAAGAAAATACTCATCCCAACTAGGGGATGTAAATTAAGTGAATAGATTCAGATTCGAAAACTTATTGTTAGGCTCTTAGGCAGGGCAGATTCAATAAATAAAAAATAATAATTAAAATAAAAATATAAAAAATTAAAAAAAAATATAAAAAATTAAAAAAAAATAAATAAAAATAAAAATAAAAAATATAGAGCAGTGAATAAAAGTATACGTATTACAAAAGGGGCAAATTTATCTGTTTGAAAGAACACCGCTTATGTTTCCTCCAAATACACATCAAGTTACATCTTTTTGCTTAATTTTATCTTCCTTCCGTCGCAGAATTATTTTCGTACAAAATTACTCAAAAAGCTGTCAATTTCTTTCAAAAATACGATTCGGATTGCAGCATACCATTTCTCCGAATACGAAAGTCTTGCAGCATAGGGGTAGTTGTTAAACTTAAATTCTTTGGAATAGCAAAAAATTTTGAAACGAGCGAAATACAGCGAGTTCAAGTGATTTTTTTTTTTTTAATTTGCTAACCCAGTATTATGTTTTAATTAGTGCAAGCGAACAGAACCACCGTGATGTGATGGAGCACCGTGACTGGTCTGGCGTTCTAAATCGCTTTATATATTTATGAATTTATGGAGAAAGGTGACAAATAATTTTTCATTTAGAATTTTCACCGTGAAAATGGGAACATTTTGAGAAACGCATAAAACCCTCGGATAGCCCGTTCAAAAATCTTTAGAAATTGTAGTTGGCGATTTTTTCTCCATTTTCTGTCTGCTAGCCCGTTTTGTATCACTGAGCGCGCCTGGGACATTTGACGTGAAACGCCCCATTTATATATGTACATATTTCATTGATAATATGCATGCTCTCAATATTACCTACCTTGGCGGCCTACTATTTCTGCGACATGTTCCGAACTTGGAACTGGCACACATTCCGTCATGTTTTGGGATTTTTTTGAACGATCCTCCATTGCATTAGGTAACAGTGGATTCGACACCGAAAACTTATTCAATATTACACTACTATTATGGCTACTATTGGTGCTTGCCACTGTATCATTCACTTTACTTTCAATATGCCCATTGTTGGCGTTTGCAATGGCAGAAACGGCGGCATTCATAGCGTTAAGTGTATTTAAATCAATCTTTTGATTCAAATGTTCCTGTTGTGCGCTTGACATTACATGCTGATGCGCTCCTATCTGCTGTTGATAAATCGCCGAATGCATGTTTGCATTGTTAATCATATTACGATTGTTATTGGAAGGTGTCTGGTCTGATGAACAAACCGTGCTTGTAGCCGCATCATTTAAACCTACTATTGATAGCTCTAGTGCGAGTTGCAATGTCCTTTGATCTTCCACTAGAAGTCTATGTGAGTTTTGTTGCTGTGTACGGTCGACCGAAACAAGACTGTTAAAGAGTAAATGTGTTGATCCTCCAGAGGGCGCAGTTAATGCGTTAATATTTGTAGACACAGGCGAAGACATTATCGTCGAGGGCATTGGAGCGGATATAGCTTCGCCGGACATGATTTTAAACGAGCAAGCATCTTCGGCTGATGACATGATTGGAAGTTGCGACTGGACTGTGACGGATGATGTTGCTGTCATACCTGCCAAACATTGTACGTTAATTAAAATAAAGGACTAATTGGTTTTACAATTGTTAATTGCCTACCAGTGGATGATTCAGCGTATAATCTTTTAAATGTTGAAGTTCCTGAATAATGCATATTTTGTGTTATAGGTTTTGAAATATCAACTAAATCATCACAGTCAGATGGTAAGGACGACAACGCGGTTAATATTTCCGTTGATGTGGAAGTGCATGTTGTCGATGGCCCATTCTCAGCAGACGCATTTGGCCTTAAGAATGCAGTTATTAGAGACGACGTTGTCGTAGGTGTGTATCCCGTGGTGCTAATTCCAATTATATGAGAGGAAATAGCAGACATTATTGGCTGGCGCGTGCTTTTGCAAAATTTTATTTCCGCCCCAGGAATATTTGATTTAAGAATTTATGTTTGCGCTCCGCTGACCACCAATTATGTATCAAAAATGTTTGCTTATATCATATACATTTATTACATTGGCATATTTAATTGATATTCCATATTATTATATTTTATTAGTAGGAAAATGCACAATCAAATTTTTTCACTACGATATGTAGACACAATTATTTATACACATGTGGTCTGCGACTCAGAGTTGACAAATGTTATATTTAATAATACAGCTTAAAAGCCCTAGCCGCTTAATGCAGTCTTTTTCAATGACCCAATATAGTACACAATGATTTCGATACATATGAACTTTTATCCTGAATTTTCAGATCGACTTGATTGTATATATCTGAGCGTTAAACTTGCAGGCAGTGCAGACCTATGGATATTTGGTAATATACAAATTTTGTACGCCTTTAAGTGTTGCCGGAAAGTAATTATGGTTTATGCCTTGCGATCCATTGCTGTAGTCGATTTCTCGTTTTTCGTTTACTTTTTGAAGTTTCCGCTTTCAAGATGCCCTGTAATAAATGAAAATATATACACATGTGTATATTTTACTATCTGGCTTTTATCATATACATATTCATAAACAGGGAACGGATTTTATGGAAATTGCCTTTTTTTCTGCTAAAGAGATAGAGTATATTCGATCAAGAATGTCCACGATTTAGCTTTCCGATTCCATATATACACATTTGATGTTGCCGTTTTTTGCCTTTTTTTGCTTTTTTTAAGATATTTGCCTTTTTTGGCTATTCTACCTTTAAAAACGTGATTATAGGATTTACAATTTTTGTTTAAAGATTAAAAAATATACACATGCCCATGCGGCTTATAGAAGTGCAGGGACCTCTTGCCAAATTAGTGTTGGAAAAAGTCAAAGCCGTTTTCTCAGCTAACGTCGGCTTGGAGACAATAAGGGGTGTGCATAAAATTGTAAAGGGCGGGGAAAACGCCCTTATTCCTGATAATATGAACGTTTCAAATGTTCCATATTTAAATTGGGCTCTACTTGTATCAACTTACGTCGAGCGTACATTTAGTACATTCAAGGCTTTTCTTCGCGAAAATCTAATGAAAATGCTGCCAGAAAACTTCAAAATGCATCTTGCGGTTCAATGTTACTACAACTATACAGATTAAAGTTTTATGAGTTAGAAACTCCAAAGGATAAAATAGTCAAAGTACAAATTTTTCATATAATGAAACTGGTTCATAGTTTTTCTCTGTTTACTTGTAAAATAAACATTTCTAAATAAATGTATTTTTTGATTGTTCTTCGTATTTCCTGTCTTTTTTTAGTGCCTTATTTTGCTTTTTTTGCAATACCTAGTGCCTTTTCCTGCCTTTTTCGCTATTTTGTTTTGCCTTTTTTGCAATACCTAATGCCTTTTCCTGCCTTTTTCGCTATTTTATTTTGCCTTTTCCAGCCTATTTCATTATTTTGTTTTGCCTTTTTATAGGTTTTTAGGTCCTAAAAATCCGTTCCCTGTTCATAAAAATAATAAAAAACGAACAAATAAGTGCGCTTAGGCTACACTAATGAAGTAAGACTTCTATAGATTCATTTCTGTTTCCTTTAATACTAAGGAAATTTTTATATAACGTTCTGATTTAATGACCATGCTACTGGTCACGGTGGGATTTACAGAATTTTTATTCAATGATATCAATTAAACCCAACAAACCGTTCTAATGTAGTTTTCTAATGTTTCCCAAATCAAAAGTAAAGCTAGAAGATACAGTACAATTCCGTTTTAAAACAGTTACGAAGCATCAAGAAACGCGCTATTAAGATAAATTACAAAATTATCGACTTAGCTGGTTAAAAAAAGTGGGCGTGGCCCGCCCTTTTTACTGATTTTATTGCTGTAATTTTTTTTTTGCAAATTAACAGAGGCCGTGCTTGGGGTGTAAAATCGGAATTTTCAATCTTTTCAAAAGCTTATATTTCGAAAACTATTGAAAATGGACATGGTTGGAAAGGTGATTGAAAGACAGTGACTCAAACAAATGACAATTTTTTGTTATTTTTCTATAAAAATACCGTCCAAGCTTTAACCAAAACCATATAAATCACAGTTTCAAACCTATTACCAAAACCAACGGGAAATTCAGCGGTTTAAAACTTGCATTTCAATAGATTAAAATTGTATGGGCTATAAAATGCATACCCAAAAATGTTCTAAAGGTTCAGATTAAAAAGTTGAAATTTTGATTAAAATTTGTTGAATTTACCTTAATTTTCTATAACGCTTGAAACTGTGATTTTTATAGTTTTGGTTAAAGCTTGGACGGTATTTTTATAAAAAAATAACAATACAAATTTAGCTCGAAAAGCATTACGAATATTAAAAAAAAATTAACACGTGGTCACTTGTTGGAGTCACTGTATATATACATTAGGGCGGTTCAATTTTTTTCGACAGCGTTCCTAGCAGATTCGGATTCTACATAAGATTCTAAGAAAAAACTCCTTTAGACCATAGCTCTTAAATTAATTTCGAGCCTGCGCAATTTTAAAAGAAGATATCTTTAGTTAATGAAAGCATCTGATGAGGCGGCTCTTGGGAGTTTTCGAGAGAAAGATTCTGCGAAAGATTTACGGACCTTTACCCGTTGGTGATGGCGAATATCGCAGACGATTTAACGATGAGCTGTATGAGCTTTACAACGATATAGACATAGCGCAGCGAATTAAAATTCAGCGGCTCCGCTGGCTTGACCATGTCGATCGAATGGACAGAAACACTCCTGCTCTGAAAATATTCAACGCGGGCCGCGATGCTGGTAACAGAGGAAGAGGAAGGCCTCCTCTGCGTTGGAAAGACCAGGTGGAGGACTTGGCTGCACTTGGCATTTCCAATTGGCGTCAGTTATCACAGAAGAGAAATGACTGGCGTGCTGTTTTGGACTCGGCCAAAATCGCTTAGGCGGTTACAGCGCCAATAAAGAAGAAGAATCTTTAATTAATACCAAGTTAATATGCAGATTAATATTTACTAAAGTGTTACATTTTTTTTTTTGTTTTAATAAAAACTTGTGCTTGGGAATTGTTTGATACAAATAATTAATTTCTGATATCCATTTTTTATTTAACGAACCGCAAGACGCCTCATCATGTCGGTCTTCTGGCCGCTGGGGATGGGGCTTAAGTCATGCTATGTCAGTCATACTGGAGTGCCGGGCACAGCACCATGAACCAAGAGAGATACTGGGTATGGGACTGGAGTCTGCGGTTGCTCACCCGTAGTTCGTGTGGCGGCCGTGGGCTGCAGCTCCCATGCGCAGACGCCCGCATCGAAGTTCCCCATCCCAATTGATTCCTTTAACCCGTGGGAACAAAAAGCAATGAATAAAAATGCAAATAAAAACAAAAATACAAAACACAAAATTCGAAGAGAGGAGAGCTGTTTGCGCAGAGGACGTGCGTCAGGACTCTGCATGATCTTCGATAATAATACCGGTGAGCGCTAAGCCTAGCGATCCCGACAATACCCCACCTTCCTCAAAGGCAACGTTGAGTGCCCCAGGGAGCACTCCAAAGCAAGAAAGGAGGAAAACCAAGGAGGGGTACAGAAGGTACCTTACTTCAAAACCAACAAAGAACCCTGTGGCAGACCTAAGGAGGAGCACACCCCAGCAAGAAGAAACGTTGCCGAAACGACGGTACTGTGGGGTGGCCAGGGATCACCTTCAGGTCCCGTTTGGCGACGAAGTCACAGGCAGCGGTAAGCGCGTTCAGGAGAGGTGGGTCGAGATCGAGTCAAAACTCTCTGAACAGATGGATGACCACCTGTTTGAAAATCCGGACAACCCTATTCCAGGATTTGACTCAAGTGACTCCCTGAGCGGTTGTCGGATTTCGAAATGTAGAGATGAGCTCTCTAGCGAATTCGTCGGCAAGTGCGTAGCTGAGCTCGGCAACGCCTGGGAGGGTTTGAAGTTCAAACAAATCCCTGCTGAGGCGGTCCCTAGGAAACCCAGGGCCCGCATTTGGCTGCCGAAGATGGCTATGGACAGCGACAAGCTGGTCAGTTTCCTACCACGGCAGAACCCGGAGATACGCATGAGTGATTGGGTTGTCAGAAAAGCCTCTAGAGGGCGCGCAGAGTTCTTCGTACCTTCTGAGGCTTAACGAAGGAAGTATTGAGCCATTGCAAAAACTGACAACAGGCTGCTCTTCGGGATGAGAACAGCTAAACTAAAAATATTCCGCTCCAATGTGCCGATTCCAGAGGCTGACACCGAGGATGGCAAAAAGATGTTTGGCAATATGAACCTCAAAGTTACCGCGGACGAAGAGGTCGCTGAAGGTGCCAACCAGGCACTGGCAGCCACACGGCCAGCTGGCAATGCCGAGAAAGTCGATGAAGGTGGTCCAGGCAAATCTTAGGCACTCTAAGGCCGCCTCTGACAAGCTCCTCGTCTTCCAAAGGGAGGAAGAGATCGACATCTCGCTGATGCAGGAAGCTTGGGTAAGGGACCTAGAGGTTAAGGGACGCACCGACGCCCACTATAACCTCTTATACACCAGTATATCAGGTAAACCCCGCGCATGTGTATTGGTTAAAAAACATATTAAAGCTTTCTTATGTTCCAATTTCAGCTCACTACTGCTGTCAACTTGGAGTTGATGAATGAACGAAGCTGTTTAATACCATCCGTATACATGGCGCACGACAAGCCGTGTCCGCCACAGGACGTCGTCACTTTACAAAGGCTAGCAGGAGCTAGTCCAGTGTTACTCGGCTGCGATGCCAATTCACGACATACATTGTGGATCAGCTCGGAAACGAACGATAGAGGTGAGTCACTATTTCAATTTATTACTAATTCTACGTTTAGGGTTTGTAATAGAGGAGTACTCCCACCTTCATATTTCTTAGTATCCCTGATTTTTGCGGTTGGGAAGAGGTCCCAGACCTAACTCTGCTAACCGAGGGGAGCCTAAAGGCCAATAAGTTGAGAGTGTCCAACGAAGAGACCCTCTCGGACCACCGTCGAAAACTCTTTCAGTAAAATATTGCGGCGGATACGCCTACTCCCTTCAGAACCCCTCGTAAAACAGATAGTTACTTATTTGAAGAGGTTATTGAAAAAAATTGAAGAAACTACAAGTTGAAGGCATTCTTACAAGGGGCGAGCTGAACGCCAAAGCGGGCAGCCTGAATAAGGCCTTTGGAAAGGCCTTTACGAAGGCTTGTCCTCTGAGGTATGGCAAGAAAGCGCGCACACCTTGGTGGAATGGGAACCTTACAGCGCTACGGAAGCAAGTAAGAAAATCCTTCAACGAATGCTACAGGAATAAGGTATGGGAGAGAAGGTACAGAGAGGACCTAAAGAAATCTAAAAAAGCGGTACGGGACGCTGCGTAATACTGAACCACGTTCCGTTCAGCTGGAGGAAGATTAAAGTAATTTTTATTCCTAAAGCGGGCACACGGGGCCATGACAATGCTAAAGATTTCCGACCAATAAGCCTAATGTCCTTTGTGCTCAAGACGTTTGAG